CTTTTTAAGTCTAATGATTATAAACGGTATGGGAAAATATTTCCAAACCGAGGTGTTTAAATAGGCAAAATTAGCGTTTTTTAAACGTTTAATCGTTTTCTTTTTTTAAACAGAATTTGAGGTTCGAAGGTTGTCAAAGGATCCTTGGACAGGATCGCCGTTCCGTCTACGATCCATTGACTCGGAGGGGAAAAAAGGAAAAAAGCCACCACCGTCCTTGCCATTCATGCAAATCCTGAATGGGCCCGACGAGGGAGAAGAGGAGGGTCGACGGAATGCGCGCCTCGCCGTCTAGTCCGTCTGAAGACACCTCAGACCCTGAGACGCCCGGCAACCGGTCCTGGTCGAGGCGCGTAATTCAATTTGAACCGGGATAAATAAGGGTTTGCCGGGGTGGAACCGTGGAAATCGTAATAATACTTGTATATCTGATACCCTTTGGATCACGAACCCCTTCTGATCCGTGTCCTCCTTAAACGAGATTTGCCCTCGTCAATAGAAGTCCCTCGCTTATTAATCAAACTTTAGCTTATCAAAATTGCCAATTTTTTTTCATGAATAATTTTTCGTAATACATTTTTTAACACTCCGAGGCTATCGACAGCAAAATCATCTCAGTCCCAATCGAGTTGAGTTTTTAACCTAAACACTAAAAACGACTAATACATTTATTCTATAAAAAACTGAATCCTAACAAAACTTTGGCATTGTCTGCATTGTCATTTAGCTGATAATAAAACATATCACATAATCACATTTTCAATCGTAAAATTTTCGACGTTTTAACATACCGCCCACCAATTTTAATTTTGTCCTATTCCCTGTATTAGTTATTTAAGTTAATTAATAAAACCAAAGGAAGGATAAACTAAGCGGTAAATTTACTCACCTCTACAATACTGACCTCAATTCATAACTTAATACAACTCCTATCCATGACCTCAACGAAACAACTGCATAAGTACAGGTAACTACGGAATCATCGGTTATAAATGTGCAGCCATATAGACAGCCAAGAAGCAATTTTAAAAGCTCTGGGTTGGTTACAGTTCAAAAAGTGCATCCACATAGTCAGCCAAATATCAATTATCAACGCTCTGGGTTCAGTACAAGATAATGAATCATGCAACAGCTCTAAAAGGATAATTATAAAGGCAGTCAAGTAGTAATTCTAAAAGCTCTCGGTTGAGTGTAGGCAACTGACAAATCATGAAACAACTCTAAAAGTGCAACCATGCATGCAACTGCTCTAAAAGTGCAACTATATAGACAGCCAAGTAGCAATTCTAAAAGCACCTCATTTGAGGTCAGGCAATTAGGAATCATGCAAAAAGTCCAAACGTACAATACTAACAATATCGAGCATCAGATCCAAAAGTACAATCGTACAGACAGCCAAGTGAGGACTCTAAAAGGACGACTGTATTGAAAGCACCGTAGTAATTATAAAAGCTCTGGATTGGATCGAGGCTAAGGAATCAAGCATCAGATCCATAAGATCGGCCATTTAGACAGCCAAGTGAGGACTCTAAAAGCACGACTGTATTGAAAGAACAGTAGCAATTATAAAAGCTCTGGATTCGGTCGAGGCTAAGGAATCAAGCATCAGATCCAAAAGTATAGTCATACAGTATAGTCAGTTTTTCTTTTCACTTTGATATTTGATAGGCTATCAGTACCACTGGTTAAGACGAACGTCAGAACTATCCAAATTCTATGAAGTCACGGCAGGTACAAGGCCTACCTGAATATATTGCATGTAAAGAAGATGACCTCTGCAGGTGTACCATAAACTGCCCCACGAAATCACATATTTTTTTACGTTCACTGTTCAAAAGGGTTGTTCTAATAAGGAAGATAGTTCTGGAAAGAAAACTGCTGTTTACCACTCAGTGGGAGGTCCAATTCATCATCAGCCTCCCAGTAAAAAATTCTCCCTGCTTTGACCTTACCACTACAAACATTCTCTGAAATCTATAAAAATCTATAATCCTTGAAAAACTCCTCTTTAAACACTAAAAAGCTACAACGTCCATTTTTTCAATTCGGGTTCAGGTGACATTTTACCATTTTCATCCTCCCTCGAGCGACGATGGCCCAGTGACTTCCTCGCCTAAATCCGACAATAAACTGACCATTGGCTGCCTTCTTACAACACGTGTCATCCAGGTACTGGCCGAAGTGTTAGTGTTTTGCCCGGGATTTTATACCATTAGAACAATTTGTACAGGATGCAAATAAATATTGCTATAAAAAATAAAATATAAAAGACCTAGACAGCAGACTGTCGTCGAATCCCACACAAGAATTGAGGGAGAACCATTTAAAAGAAGACTAGGGCGAAATCCGTCTTGACCATCTACACTTACACTGCGACCACTTTGGACATACGGCGTCGACCTGTGAGGTTCTGCCAAGGTATCCAGCATCCAATCCTTACAATAAAAAATCCTCAAACAAATGTATAAAGCTCCTTACTACGTCACTAACCACACTATCCACAACCATATCAACATTCCTTTTGTCAATGTTGTCAACGAACTGACCCGTTTCTGATTCCAAACGTTTAATATCTACCTCTCGATCCATCCTAACTGCTCGACCCCTACACGTTCCCATCTCCAGAACACTCCTTAATCGACGATGCCCTCGAGACCTTGCCCCTTAATCCCTCACACTGACTGCCAGCATTGACATTCTCATAGCATGTGACCTCCTGGTGCAGCGTTGGCATTAGTGTTAACGCGGTGACCGTGTGAAAAAAAGTTTTGTGGTCACATTTGTAGATATACTAATATGTATAGGATACAGACAAACTAATTTTAAAAAATTGTTATATATGCCGCCATATTCTAGCTGGAGTATTGTTGATTTGTGATTCTGTTTCATTTGCCCTTTAAGTCTAATTGGGCTGACGGCAGCATTTGCACCTCGAAAAAACACCAATTCATAAAATTATCCATCGCAAACCAAATCCGTGTTGAAGCTTGTAAAATGTACTCGCCGAGAGGCCATAAGCCGTGTAACCCTTCGATAGAAAGTCACTTTCATCTCGTATAACCAAGGCATAAATCGAAGAGACTCGATGATAGAGCACATTTTTAGCAATCAGTTTTAATTAGCGGCTGTAAATCGGATTGTCGCAGTCCTCATTCAAAAGGGTCTTAAGGCTCCGAGGTAATTGGCCCGTGAATCAAAAACCCTCCGCCCTTGACAGTTTAATTTATTCATCAATTAATGCCGCAGTCGAAGTGGAGGCAGGAGGAGCTATTGGTTACCCAATCACAATGTACCAGTCATAATGTGTTTGGATAAATCATAAAGGACCGGTGTGCTCCGAGGAACCGGTTCTTCGCCGGCTTAATGACCCAAGACGGTAGACTGTCGCACACCTCTCTCTCCAGATCCGGGCGAACTTGTACATAGGACTTACTTGTTTCACCCTCTGGTTCGAATCGTCACCTGATTAACAAAAAACACCTTTAGAAAGAAATTAACTCAGTGAATATAAAAAAAAATTTCCTTGATATCGGTTCAACTGAAGATAATTGAACAACAACAAAACTCCGCGAGATACGAACCCAACAAGTAACCCAGTGCCGGTTCAAAGTTACTCCTTTGATAACTTCTTGGCTTAACGTCCAACTGCCGTTAGGTGTTGCCTACGAAGGGTCAAACCACATTACTACCCTTTTGTCATAGTATTCTCAATTGAAAAGACATGGGCTGTGCCGAGATTCGAAGCCACAAATACGCCGTACCACTAAATCCTCAAAGTAGATGGCGCATTAACGAAATCCGTTTTTTATTTCAAGAAAATCCACGAGAGAAGACGGACCCAATAAGTGACCCAATGCCGGTTCGGCATGAGATACTGTTTATGGATGGCATAGCATCAACAGACACTGTTAAAAGCGTGTGAGGTGCACTGTATGTTTTGATATTTGTAATCATTGGTATCACATCAGCAGTAATATTTATACGTATCAGAGTACTGCTAGGATCTGTTTTAAGGCCTGGTTGTTCTTTATATACAATCTAGTCTGGGAAAAAGGTGTTTCATGACGCAGTTTGTTTATTATATAATACTTCCGGTGCGGGAACGGCCATTATCAAAATCGATACTACATATTACGGACATATAAATGTACACGTTCGCAAGGATCTGTTTTAAGATCCATTTTGGTACCTATGTACTTGCAGGTAACACATCAACATTGGTTAATGCATGGGGCTCGCGTGGATCTGTTTTAGTACCCACATTATTTATTATAAACACAAGGGTTCCGTAGCATGTTTCGAATCAAAATTTTACCGAAAGTAACATTTATACCTGGATGAGCACTGCAAGGGCATGTTTTAAGGCGCACATTTTTCATTGCATGCATGTTACACGCGCGCACAAATGGTCGTAGTAGGTGAAGTTTGTTTCAGGTAACATTAGCCCAAGTATTCAAGGACCTTTAAGTCCGATTTTGTCCATTGTAGGTAACAGCGGTTATTTCCTCTTGCCTTAATTAAATCTCGAAGACGGGATACTTTGTACCAATCTGGAAATGTCTCATTGCTGGAGGTTATCCCATTCTTCACGAAGAGTCCTCTCAAGATCATGGAGTGTATCAGGAAGTGATGGACGTGCTCTTATTCGTCTATTGAGGCTATCCCATAAACGGTCGTTGGGGTTCAAGTCTGGAGAACGGGCTGGCCAGGCTGAGACCTTGATGTGATGCTGTTGATGGTATGTTTGCACATGCGAGCGACATGTGGACGGGCATTATCGTGCATTTGAATAGGATTGTCGCTGATTCCATCGAGCATAGGCAACGCATGATGCCCCAAAATTTCATCCACATAAAGAGTGCCCGTCAAAGACCCTCGACGAACAACAACCAACTCTATTCGACTCTATATTGAAATTCCCGCCCACACGATCACTGAGCTACGTTGAAAAGGTTAGCTCTGGGGAAAAATACAGGCTTCGTACCTTTCATTTCGCCTTCTTCACACTCTTTCACGCCCATTTTGATATCGTACAGCAAATCTACAATTATCTTCTCAGTCTTCTTGGGAAGGAGGACTGCCTGGATGTTAGGAAGTACACCACCTTGGGCGATGGTGACTCCAGAGAGGAGTTTGTTCAATTCCTCGTTATTCCTGATCGCCAGTTGAAGGTAACGAGGAATGATCCTGGTCTTCTTGATATCACGGGCTGCGTTGCCTGCCAATTCGAGAACTTCAGCGGCCAGATATTCCATGACGGCAGCAAGGTACACTGAGGCACCGGCACCGACCCTCTCGGCGTAGTTGCCTTTCCTCAAAAGACGATGGAACTGAAGTCCGGCCCGAGACGACCTGGTCTTCTCCTTTCCCTTGGTTATTCCTCCTTTGCCACGTCCAGACATTATGGTGTTTTTAGCAAGACTGTTTCAGCTAAGAAGAAGAATCCCTAACCATCCCAACAATCTACAATTATCTGTAAAAATTACAGCAGACCAATCGTCCAAAGACCGACTGTGTTCTCGAGCAACTGGGATGGTTAGGGCCCTAATCACCCCAACTCTAAGTGTTCTGGTCAATTCTGGTCCTCTGGCTCTTACGAAAAGCCATCGTCCCTCCTGGCTTAATCTTCTGCGAGTAGTGCGTTCAGAAATGTGCACACCACCCACTTGCTAGAGCTGATGAATCGCTGGCGCCGGTTTCCCAAAATTCCAAAAGTCAAAAAACGAGTATCCAGTGGTTCTGTTACCCTAGGGCGTCCAGAATCGGGCCTTTTATGGTAGGACCCAGTTTCTCGAAAACTCTAACGGCGTCTTGTAGAGTTTCGTAGAGAACTTCGTTACCAATAGCCGCATACCTGATGGAACGTCCATCATCAATAATTGCCACACAACGCCCAACATGCTCAGCACAATGTTTGCAGTTTTAAGTTTAAAAATTGAAATTAAGAAAACAAAGGTGTAAACGAAACAATTTATTATCTTTATCCTTCTTTTGGATTAAGGATTAAGTGTGTTTACCTCTAATTGATATTCCCAATTTAAAGCATAGCATAAATAAATATTATTGGTAAAAAAACGAGCAAATTAAGGGCAGATTTTCTTTTATGGAAAAAATGGAAAAAAATCAATTGGGTGGAACTTTTTGAATGTCAGTGTATAATTTTCCATTAAATCTGTCACTTCGATTTTGTTCTCTATTGATAGGTAGAAAAATTCCAAGTTCTCCGTGTTTGAAAACCTTTATTCAATTTAGTAAATTACATGGACTTTTCGGGCTCCTGGCCCATCATCAGAAACTAATAGCGAAAACTCATGGTATAATTCCCAATCTCCCCAAGCCCTAAGATCCCAATCTCTATAAAATTCGATTTTGTTATAAAGTGAGGATCATTATTCAAAATTTCAAAAACTACAAAGAAGGCAAAAGATTTATAATTTCTAAAATTTTAAATTGTAGTTTCAATTGTAGTTCAATTTGGTTGATTTTTCCATACCATACGTATATTCTGTTTTTTGTTTGTTTTTCATTATCCTTTTGTAAATATATATTTTGTTTCTTTCACTGTAGATCTCCAAAAACCTTCTGCTGTGTAGTACAATCGTTGCTTTTTGACAGCGGGCAGCGAAGTAAAAATATTTTTTGTTGTAAATTTATATGTAATATTCTTGCAAACAAAGATTTATTATTATTATTTTGTTGGAATACAGAAGTCAAGCACATGTTAACTTTTTGGTGTGTTTTTGTGTGATTTTTATAAAGTTGGATGTTAATTTAGCAAACCAAAGCCGGTAACGAAGTTCACTGGGTTCGCTGGGTCGTCTCTAGGTGGAGCCAGGTGCAGGGGCTTTGCCTAACCGATTAAAAATGGCCCGTGTGGCTTCGAGCTTTTGAACTTTTGCCAGCGGTTTCGCCATTCCTGATCGTCCTGATGGACTAACACTTGTCAACCTTGGTGTTCAAACATCGGAAAAGCTTTCTATATTATAGATTTGATGAGGACCGAGCAGAAACACTTCTAGTCGTCCTCATTATTATTATTTTCTTTTTTTACCTAGGCGTTTTGACGTTATTTGAACATCTTTGAATTTATTATTATCAGTTCCTTTTTGGAGAAAATCCAGCAGTCATTTTTTTTATACAAAGATAGGACAAGGCTAAAATAATGCATTTTCAATAATGAAAATAAGTCTGACTGCTTAAAATGACCCATGAGAGGCTAATTCTGTTGCTAATTACAATTTTGAAAAATTAATTTGAAAATTTAATTTAATGGCGTTTATGGTTTTTCAGGATTTTGAAGTGTAAAACATTTGTTACAATTGTTTAAACCTAGGAAGAAGTTCTGATAATGGATTTCTTAGTGGTCCTAACCAACATGATTAATTTTCATAGTTTAGTACGTTTTTTCATTTTTCTCTATCCATCTTCGATAAATAAAGGATATCGAATGGAAATTTTACGTGGATTAGATTTACGAAAAGTTACCAAAATAAGGCATAATGTTCAGTAACAAAAGTTTTTGTTTTTGCTATTGTCAAAAAGTCAATTCGGATTTATTTCAACGTTTAAAATTCTTAAATGCAATTTTTCATTGCAATCGAAAATAGGCAATTTTGGCTCGTATTTGTAGGGGGAAATTTGGATTTTAACCAAATTCGACATCATTGCAACCGATAGAAAAACGAATTTCATTCCTTTCAGCTTGTGTTAATAACGTTTAAGTTTGCTGTTATTATAAGTGAGAAAATTATGGGCCAGTTCGACAAAAAAACCACGAAGTTTTATTTTTTATCTCAGGTTTTGATTTATTTACGGAGTAGTGTTTGTGCTATTACGTGTTGTTTATAGCACATCGTAAACCGTAAAATTTCCCTAAAAGTTACCATGTTTGTAATTTTAGACAATCTGGAGATATTTGAAAGGCGAAAAAATGTGGAGGTAAAAATATTTTGATTTTTCCAAAAATTTAAATTTATGAGTTGTTTTGAGTACGAATAAACATATCAACTTTGTTCTTTACAAAAATAGTTATTCCTGCTGTTTCATTAGGCCGGCCACTGCATCAAATTTTTATTTAGCAATTACTGGTATCATAAAAATGAAAATACATATTTAGTGACCGTACAGCGCGTAATCCTTTATACTATTGTCTTATCTGCGTAAAAATCAAATAGATTACTATATAATAACATTGAAATACATTTCAAATAACATTGAATGGCAGAAAACCATATTTAAAAAAGATGTTAATTTTTTTCTCGGCTTTTTTTGGCATAATTTTAACTCTAGGATACGTGTCTAATATTTTTCATCCTAGTATCACCAAAAAGGTTTTTTGACATCTGTGATCCCACATCAAAAGCTGCCTAAATTGTTGTATAAATGTTCAGTTGTATTGGTAGTACTGTATGGGATAACCGGGGGAGGTTATATTTTAGATTTATAATGAGTGTTTGCATTGAATTTTTCCTGTCATGTTTAGTAAATGCCGAAAAATGTTTAAAATAAAATTTAACTCTCGGTCTCGTTTCAAGTACATTTTGACCTAGTATCACCAAAACAGTTTTTGGTGTATGTGATCCCACATCCAAAGCAGGTTGTAAGGCATTATGGTAACGTTAAGAAATGTTCGGGTATATTGGCAGTACTGTATAGGCTAACCGGACAGAGGTTATATTTCTGATATCAAATGAGCGTTTGGGTCTCATTCTTTCTTGATCTATTGTCAGTTCTGGCTATGATAACTGTTACTAAATGCCGAAAAAAATGTACAACATAAAATTAGACTCATGGACACGAGTCTAATACATTTTGACCTGGTATCACCAAAAAAAGTTTCATTGGAATCTGTTGACCAATATCCAATGCCGGCTCTTGTAAATTTAGTAGAAATGGGCAGGTATATTGGCAGTACTGTATAGGATAACCGGACAGAGGTTATATTTCTGATATCAAATGAGCGTTTGGGCCTCATTCTTTCTTATTCAATTGTTAGTTCTGGCTGTGATAAGGGTTACTAAATGCCGAAAAAAATGTACAACATAAAATTAGACTCATGGACACGAGTCTAATACATTTTGACCTGGTATCACCAAAAAAAGTTTCATTGGAATCTGTTGACCAATATCCAATGCCGGCTCTTGTAAATTTAGTAGAAATGGGCAAGAGTATTGGCAGTATTGTATAGGATAACCATTGGGAGGTTATATTTAGATGTACAATGAGAGTTTGCGCCTTTTTTTCCTTGATCAAATGCGAGTTCCGGCTGTGGTCGTTTGCTAAATTCTAAAAAAAATTATACGTTAAATATTTGTCTTATGTTCATAGCTCCCTTTTGTAAATATATTTCATGAGGCACTGAAATTATTAAATTCACGCTTATTCTTCCAAATAACTGACTTGTTAAATTAACAAAAATCAAAATTTTTTCCGCTGCTTACCCACGCTCATATTTTTATGAAACCATTAACTGTTGACCGGGGAAAATTTATCATTCGGAAAATCCATTGAGTTGCCTTTGTGGGCTGGATGCGTTTATATCGTCGTAGTAAAAAAGTGATTCAAGGTATAGCTGCCGTGAAATCCAAGTGGTAAAACGTCCCCAAGTTGAAAACGAAATTTTACAATCCGCCGTGGAATATGTATTCCGCTTTTACCGCTCCTAAACCAAATCCGCGGCCGGCCCTTATAGCTAGCCAGCTCGGCCTGGATTTGGCCCTTCCTAGGGCACGTGACGACCCTTTTTAAACCCAAACGGCCTCCGTTCGAATCGAAATCGGAAAAATTCAGGCGATAAAGTTACCCGAACGCTACATCAAATTCTGGCGGGTGTTATTTTGTTTTCTTACCTTGATTTGAACCGAACACTCACAACAGTCCTTTCGAACGGTTTGTCTGCTCTGATAAATACTAATCCTACAATACAAATATTCTCAAATTTTATTTTGAAATTTTTTTAGCATTACTAAACAATACCTTGGCCTGAACTTATATTTGATCAAGTAGGAATGATGTTCAAACAGTCATTCTATATCAGAAATATACCCTCCACCCGGTTATCCAAGACAGTACAGCCAATACACCTGCCCATATCTACTAAATTTACTACCTTAGAGAAGGCGGCTTTGGACGTGCGCTAATAGATATCAATAAAAAATTTTGTGATATTGGGTCTAAATTTAATAGACACGTGTCCGAGTGTTCTTGCCAAAAAAGAGTATCAGCCATGTATTTCAAGGTTATTACACATAAATCGATTTTTTTTTCTCAGCATAGGGCAATAGCATTCACGCTAATATCTCGTATGGTCACAAATCATGTAGATATTTCTTGTTTCTCTTTTTGTTGGATATGAATGAGAATCTGGATTATAAAAACTTAGTAAGTTTTTCCAATTTTTTTTATTTTTTACGTAGATGCATTCTCCTCAGTACGTCTTTATTTTGAGTGTCGTCAGACGACTCGAAATAGAAATGTATCGAGGAGGCAGAAAGAGCCTCAAAATGTATGTACGTAAAAATAAACAAATTATGTACAAATTTTGATATTGGTGCCGAGCCAAAAAAAAATTAAGGTGAAATATTTCGTTATCAAGAAATAAAGTTGATATTTTTCACCCGCCAAAAAACCCACCATATATTTTTTGTTCAAATTAACTCTTGTAAACTACAAATGAACTTCTATAACTTCTAATTAGCCATTGTTTA